TCCCCCTCCCCCCCATTCATTACATGTTTGCTTGCCTGTCCCCACTAGATGGTGAGCGTCTTGTGATCGCTGCAGGCACATGGCAGATACCAGCCACAGTGAAGGCTCTGATAGCTGACATTTACTGAGAGCCCACCCTGGGCCAGGTGTTCTTCTAGCACCTCCTTCTGTCCTCATGATCACCTGTGAAGGGGGGTTTCTACTGCTATGCCCACTTTAGGAGAGGCTTGGTGAAGTTGAGTCATTTGTCCAGGTTATGCAGCTAGAAGGTGGCAGAGCTGGGTTTGCACCCAGACAGTCTGGCTCCAGAGCCCATGCTGGGACTACAACACTGCATAAAAAGCTGGTGCATGGTGCCCAGGGGAGGACCGATTTGCGGTCATTCTCTGACGGGATGATTTGCAGCCAGGAGATGTTCTAGATTTGGGAGAGCTGAGCAGGGACCCTGGACGCAGGGTGTATCAGGACACTGGAGCCAGGGCAGGCTCTGGATGGCTCCTGTGTGCCCTGGTGGGAGGAAAGGAAGGCACAGGAAAGCCGGCTGGGATTGCCCGGTGACCCCTGGGAGGGTACAGTCCGAAGGTGTGGGCAGGCATATGAGGGACTCTTGCTGCTTTGTGATAATAAGAAAAGCTCAGGGCCCATCACTCACATTTCTCTTCCCAGTGGTCCACGTGCATGTGTCACAGGGTTACTGATGATGGGGCAACAGATCAGAGAAGCAGATGACACCCTGGGTTCTAATCCCAGCTCTGGAACTTGAGAGTTGGTGACCATGGATATTCCCTTGGGGAGGGGGGCTCAGTTTTACTACCTGGAAAATGGGTGGGCAAGGGAGAGGGTCAGAAATGTGGTCCTCGAGATATATTCCCACTGTGATGGGGCTCTTGCTTTCCATGAACCAACATGATAAGATAGCAAAGGGAAGACTGGAAATGAACAGAATATTGAGGGAAGTGGAGGGAGCCCAGGCATCCGGAGTCGAAAGGCCCTGGTCTGTCCTCCTGCCCACTCTTCCTAGCAATCTCCTGGAGCCTCAGTTTCCACATCTGTAGATGGGGATGAGCACATATCTCTGCAGGGTTGGGGCTGAGCCACAGCAAACCAGCCAGCATCTGCAAGCATGCCCCACAGACTGCAGAGAGCTCTGCGGGCATGGGGGTTGTCTTTCTCGCATTTCTAAGCTATAAAGGGTTTTTTCCTTGCACATGCATATCTGTCAGAGCCAGGCCACCCAGGGTGGCAGAGTGGGGCCTGTGATGACTGAGCTTCCCTTCCTCTCCTCCCTCTAGTTACATTCGCTGTTACTACTGGGCTGTGAAGACCCTCATCACCATTGGTGGACTGCCCGACCCCAAGACGCTGTTCGAGATTGTCTTCCAGCTGCTGAACTATTTCACCGGTGTCTTTGCTTTCTCCGTGATGATCGGACAGGTAGCTGGCTCACTTAGTCTGGCTTCCCACCCACCTGCCTGCAGGGCCCCTCTCCCTCCTGCTGCAGACAGAATTGTCCCCATCTGTGCCTGTGCCTTTTAGACTAAGCCTGGGAAAGAGCCCTGAACTAGAATCTGGAGGCTGGAGCTCAGGGGGCCATTCCCTTTGTGAGGTGGCTTCCATCTGAAATGTCACTTCCTTTGGGATAGCCGGGAGAGCTGGGCTGAGGATTTGGGCCAAGGATGTGCTGGGGGCATGTCTCATGTTCTAGTCAGTGCAGGAGGTGACAATCAGCGGTCCTCAGAGTTACCTTTGGGGGTAACTCCCCGCCCTGAGGAGCATTATATGGGGCATATTTCCTGAAGTGTGGGGTCCAAGTGGCCCCTGGCACCAAGTGGCTCTGTTGTGCCAGGATCAGCCCAATCCAGTGAGGCATTCCCTCCTTGTGTGGCCCCAGGGACCCGAGACCACCAAGGGGCCAGCAGCCCCTCCCCCCTCCCCTGCCACCCATGTCCAGAACCTTTTCTGTGTGTGGACATGGGCCTCCCTCTCTCTCATCCCCCAGCTGCCTCAAGCATGCACCCTTGGTCTGTGTGAAGTAGATGCACCCATGACACATGTCCCCAAAGCCCACGGAATGGCCCCACTCTGACCCAGCGGCTTCCTTGCCCCCTCCCTTGCCCCCAGATGAGAGATGTGGTGGGGGCCGCCACGGCGGGGCAGACCTACTATCGCAGCTGCATGGACAGTACTGTGAAGTACATGAACTTCTACAAGATCCCCAGGTCGGTGCAGAACCGCGTCAAGACCTGGTACGAGTACACCTGGCACTCCCAAGGCATGCTGGGTAAGACTCCTGATGGGGCCCCTGCCCTCCCGGCCCTGCCTTCATCCGGTGTCTCTGAAGCTGAGGCAGGAGCCCTGTGGCCTCTCTTGGCTGTGTCCTGACACTTACATGAGAGGGATCTAGGGAGGCCTGTGAGGTGCCCTGAGCTGGGACCCAAGTCTATCCCCCTGGGCTGTGTGGCCATGGGCAGGTCACAGCTCCCTGAGTCACCCCTTCCTCATCTGTGAAGTGGGGATTATAGTCCTGGTACTTTTTGGGTTGCTGGGAGGAGTGAATGAAAACATCTTTGTGAAGCATTCTTTCAAAACAGTGCTCGCTCCAAGCACGTGAATTCTTACTAATGTTGTTGTAACAGTGTGAGGAGGAAGGACAGATCATGAACAAACAATTGCAATACAGGGTGTGATAGGTGCCACAGCACAGGGACTGCTGACATCATAGCTGGGGAGGTATCAAGGGAAGGCTTCCTGGAGGAGGTGACATTAGTGCTGATTTCTGAAGAATGAGTAGGAATTAAGCAGAATAGTGTACACAAGGGAGCGGCATCTGCAAAGCGAGAGGGCACTCTCCAGTCTACGGTGGTTCTGGCGGCAGAGAAGTGGTGTGACTGGGGCCAGGTGCAGTGTAGACTCGGCCCACATCTTGGGGAGGAGCCTGGCTGGGCCTCTAACTGTTGCTATGGTCTCGTTTGCAGACGAATCGGAGCTGATGGTGCAGCTTCCAGACAAGATGCGGCTGGACTTGGCCATCGACGTGAACTACGACATTGTCAGCAAAGTGGCGCTCTTCCAGGTACCCACACAAGGCCCTCACCCTCCGGGCTCTGGGAGGCCCTGAGCCCATGCCTTCTAAGCCGGGCCTCCTTTTTGCTCCTCCCCGGGACAGGGCTGTGACCGGCAGATGATCTTCGACATGCTGAAGCGGCTGCGCTCTGTTGTCTACCTGCCCAATGACTACGTGTGCAAGAAGGTGAGGGGCCCGAGGCAGCCACAGTGCCGCCGGCTGGAATTTATTGCCCCCGTGGCTGTTGAGAGCGGGGCTGGAGGGGTGGCTGTGAGGGCTCAGGGAGGTCTGAGGGTGCAGGGAGAGTGGGGTTGGAGGGGACAGAGAAGAGTGGCCGGAGCTCCATGAGCTGGCCAGCCGGCTGCAGGGCTTGGGTTGCCTGGCACGGGAGGCTTTGTCCAGGTCCGGGCATGGAGCTCAGGTGTGTCTCAGGCTCTGCTCCCTGGACATGGGACCATGGGGGCTGGGAAGAGGAACCCACTTACAGAAAAGGAAAGAGGTGCAGGGCCTTACCTGTGCAGATGGAGCTGATTCCAGGGTCTTGGTCCTGCTGTAGGGGAAATAAGGAAAGAGAAGGGGAAAAAAGGCTACATTAGTCCCCAACCTTAAAAATGAAAGGTTTTACATAAAAATGCATATTTCTGGCTGAAAACAGGTTATCTGCTAGCACTGACTGAGCCCCACTTTTCCAAATAGCAAGAGTCGGCTGGGATGGAGAAGGGGATGCCCCTCAAGGGAGACATTGTCCTCTCTCCTGATGCCGCAGGCCCCACCACTCCCCACTGCCCCACACCACCCACCTGATCCTGGAAAACATTTGGGTTTGAGTCCCAGGGCTAGACAGTGTCTAGGGGCCTTCTACTCCCACTCTTTGGGATTCAAGCATGCCCCACAGACTACAGGCTCAAACACATAAAGCCCTTAGAACAGTGGCTGGACATTTTTACTGTTGTCATTCCTGTTTCAGTTAGCAGATGCTCCCGGAGCTCCACATGATATGAGCTGGGCATAGATATCAGTTTATTGTCTGAAGCACTGCGAGACTATCCAGGCCCCTGAGCCCTCATTGCTGTGTAAAACCAGGAATTTGCAGAGGAAATTCACCTGCCCCATTCCATCTAGCATTTTCCATCACCCCATTCACCACCTACCGTAATCCTGTCAATTATGCAGGCTGAGC